AAAAAAAACATTAAAATGGAAATGGAAATTATAAAAGGGAACCAGTCAGAAATGAAGAATACATTGTCTGAGATGAAGAGTATATTAGAGAGAATCAACAAAGTGAATGAAGAGGATCGAACCACCAAGATAGAGGATAGGGAAGCCAAGGACACTCAATCAGAACGGCAAGAAAAAAGAAGCCAAGATTATAATAATAATTTAAGGAGGCTATGGGACAAAATTAAATGTAAAAACATCTAAGTCATAGGGGTACCTGAAGGAGAAGAGGGAGAACAAGAAGTTGAAAACCTATTTGAAGAAATAATGATGGAAACCTTCTCTAACCTGGTGAAGGAAATAAACATACAACCCCAAGAAGTTCAGGGAGTCCCAGGAAAGATGAACCCAAAGAGGCCCACACCAAGACACATCATAATTAAAATGCTTATGCAGGACAGAAGGGCTTGGCACAAAATATTAAATGAGAGGAAAACCCAGGATCTACAACCAAGAATATTTTATCCAGCAAAGCTGTCATTTAGAGTTGAAGGACAGATAGAGATTCCTAGACAAAAATAAGCTAAAGGAATTTATCATCGCCAAGCCAATATTACAAGAAAACGTTGGAAGACTTCTTTGAGAAGAAAAAACATGTATCTAAAACAGGAATAAAGAATGGTAACAACTACATTCCTATCAACAAGTACCTCAAATGGAAAAGAATTAAGTGCTCCAACCAAAAGATAGAGTGGCTGAATGGATAAGAGAACAAGATCCCTACATATGCTGCCTACAAGAGACTCAGATTAAAAGACACACACAGACTGAAAGGAAAGTGATGGGAAAAAATATTGCCTTGATGGACCTAGAGGGTATTGTATTAAATGAAATGGGTCGGAGAAAAACAAATATCACATGATTTAATGTACATGTGAAATCTAAAGAACAAAATCAACAACAACAACAAAGGTGGAAATAAATTCATAGGTACAGAGAATATTTTGAGGGATACTAGATGGGAGGACTTGGCGGGGGGAAGAGGGCAAAGGGAATGAGAGGTGCAGGTGGATGGTTGCAAAGCAGACATGGGGATGTAGAGTATAGCATGGGGAAGATGGTTAATAATGTTGGAATAAATATGAGGCAGGGGGAGAAGGGGTCCTAGATTTGGTGGGTGAGTGCTTTGCAAGTTGTGTGGATCTCTGATCTATATGCTGTACAGCTGAGGCTGGTGTGTTGTATCCCAACTATAACTGAAAAAAACACTCATTGAATTGTACAACGTAAATGCAGGCAACTAGTTGTCTATTATATCTCAATAAAGACGGGGAAAAAAGGAAACAAAATAAAAAGAAGAGATGCAGCTTAAATAAATGTTCCACATGTCATTAATTCACAAATGTATGGCATATTATCATGGTGATAAAATATAAATTCACTTAAAAGCATTAATAAAGAAATAATAACTTGCCATCATTACTATGTCCTCAATCTAAACATCGCATGAGAACTCCGAAAAAATTTTGTGATTAAAAAAGGGCGGGGGACCAATTTCTGAAAGGCAGTTTGTCAGTATTTATCAAGAGCAATAAAAATGGGCACATTTTTTGGTTCAGCTTTTCCAACTTTAAGAAAGGAATCAAGGATATGCATAGGTATAAACATTAAATTATTTTTAAAAATGTTAGATTATCTTCTGGGAGTGGATTATGAATGTTTTCATTCTTTCTGTATATTTGTTTAATTTTTAAATAACAAATTACTACATGTAATCCCCCCCCCTCAAAAAAAGAAACTTTTAAAAAAAGTAGAGTAGAATGCTCACACTTGAAAACACTGAAAACTTTAGAGACCATTAAATGGCATAGTAACATAGAACCCTGGAGATAACACAAAAGAGAAGGGCAAAGGTGATTAGTGGTAGCTGTGTCAAGTGTGAGATCAAGGTTGGTAACAGCCTTTTTATCTCATTGGGAACTACAGCCAGAGAAAAACCAAGTGTCAACTACAGGAAGCACAATGTAATGACCAGAGTACTGCACAAGAATATGAAGACTTGGAATCTAATCTCAGTTCTGCATAACACTGTCTGCATAAATTTTATTTGTAAAATGAGAGAACTGGATTATGATATTCAGGATCTTTTCTGCTCCTTTATTCCATGAATCTATACTGAGTGAGACCGAGACTTTTTTTTTCTATTTTTTCATTAAGTCCTCAGGTAATTCAGATGATCAGTCAGGTTTCAGAACCACTGTACTGAAACAGACATATCCATGATTATATAGTGAGTTATACAGTGATTACATAGAGAACGTTACAAGAAATGGCAAATATTCTTTAATAAGATGTTTAAATGTCATATCACCAATAACAAGAATCACACACTATTGCTAGTCCTACAATATAGAAATGATTTTTGTTCTATGGAGTTTAGAAACTGTAAATATATCAACTCACTTTTTACATACTTTCTATGGAAACTTACAAACTTAAAAAGTGAAAAGCAATCTGATATATGAAATCAAGTACAGAGCAAAATAAAATCTGGATAAACTCTTGCTTTGCTGAAGAAATGCACAATTTTAATTTATGAAGGATAGAAAACACAGGATTTTAAATGCTGTAAATTTTGGTAATTTGTGGTAGCTAGCTGAACTGGTAGACACGGCAAGGCGAGCACTGTACATCTATTACTGAAAGTAAACACCAAAACTTTCTGAGTCCCAAAGACTTCCTCACTGCCACAGGCAACTCTGCAGTGACCCAAGGAGCAAACAATTCCTTCCATGCCAGGGAATTCCCTGAATCTACACTCATGGCTCCCAGAAGGTTACTTCCCTTTTCTTTCAGGTTGATATTTTAGAAAAGTGACTGGACCACGATACAGTGTTAACTAGAAGGTGCTGATATCTCTACCACAATGTATTCTAGCCTGAAATTCACCAAGTTAAAGACGAAACACGTTAGTTTTCCTCAATTCATCACTCTAGCAAGTTTGAGATTTACTGGTAATGACAACCACTTATTGAATATGGACCATGTAATAAGCACTTTAATATGCTAAGTAATTTTATATTTAATTCCTTCAAAGATGTTCTCACCACCCCCACTTGCAGATGAGAGAATAGTTAAGGAAATTACTTGCCCAAGGACACAGCTAGTGACTACATATACTTTACACGCTAGTTTATTAAAATACTACTCTTAACTCTTTATATCCCCAACATCTAGGATAGTGCCTGTCACTAACAAGTGCTCAGATATCTGTCCAATGAACAAATGATGGCACCACAACAATGTCCTCCTGAGGCAATCTCCTCTCATTCACTTTTGCATCCTCCACGTTCTCGACAAAATTTTCTTTTCAAACCGATCTGACTCATTCCACTGCCTATAACCTTCACTAGCTTCCCTCTGCTTTTAGGAAAAGGCCTGCTGGGCCTGACCCCATGCTTCCCCCACCTGCCTCTCTCACATAGCTCCATCCTGATTCAGCCATGCTAGTCCTCTCACAACTTCTCAAAAGCTTTATTCCTCCTCACATCTCAGGGCACTGACATATGCTGTTCCCTCAGCCTGGAGTGTTTTCACTTACACTTTCACAAACTTTTCAGATGTCAGTTCAAAAGACATATCCTCCCAAAAGCCTTCTTTGAACCTTCTTTAAAGGTCACGCCCTTTATGAACTATTTCACACCACTTTGTTATTCCCTCAAGCAAATTTCACACTTGCACAATCATTTATTAAAATCCATCTCCTCTGCTTGATGCTATGAGAGAGACCCTGCCCATTTTCTAAACCCTAGCAGCAGCATAGTACCTAGTGTATAGTTCAATACATATATTAGTTGAATGAGTAAGTAAATAAGTATTATTCAAAAGTCTTCATTAACTGACCCCAACTTTAAATCCACCACAACCCTGGATTTTTGGCTCCCCTGAAGGCACTCTTTTTCCTCATCATCAGGCCTTCAAATTCTGTGGCTATTTCTGCCTAGGAAGTTCTCTCCCATTTCTCTATACCTGTTTAAATCCCACTGGCTTGCCACAACCCAACTCCAGTTATCTTTCCTCCAGGATATTTCCTGACAGTGCCAGTTCACACATCTGTACCTGCTCCACAATTCTAAAGCACTTAGCATTCTTTTTGATAATTACATATAACCTCATAGTACCTCAATGTGTCATGTGTGTGTGACTTATCCCCAACAAGGGTGCAAACTCCTAAGGCTGGACTGTTTACATCCCATTCCTTCACTCCCAGAACAGTGCTAAGTATTTAGCACTCACTGAAATGTTTAAATTTTTTTTCCCTAAGATACCAGACTTTTCCTCTGAAGAGAATATTAGCTTCCCTTTTCTCCTCTGCTTCTCTGGTGATTCAATTTGCCTTATGTGACTCCATCCCTCGAGTTCCTTTTCAGGGGTTTCTTGCCTACTCTTCTCCCAGTTTAATTTAAAAAAAAAAAAATGGTTTGAAGTCTCTGGATTCTTGTTCTTCCCCTGCCTACAAGGATCCAGCGTCCTCTGTGAGGGCACCCTGCCTGCAGGGCGGGTCTCCTAGCCCCTTAAGACCTCCATCCCCTACACTCAAGCGCGTACACCCAGTGAAGGCTCGTACGCTCGCTGTGACCTCACGCACACCACCTCAGGTCCTCGCCTGGGCCATTCTATCATCTTTCGTCCTCTTCGATCCAGGGGGCGTGCATTCTGTTACCCCCGCCCTCACTGAAGAAGAAATGTCCCAGACCCGCCGTGTTTCTTCTTTCTGCCTCTGCCACTGAGCACCCCCTGGGGCCCTTTCTCTCTTTTACCATCTTTCCTTCTTCTTGAGATGGACCCTAGGCCCAAGGTTGCGAAGAATCGGTGCCAAAAAGTTAGACACAGCCACCCAACCAGCTCCAACGCCACAGCCTCGGCACCCGCGTCCGCCCCCATCCCTTCCAAGAGGCGACAGCAGCGCAAGCTTCTGCCAGGCCCGGTCTCCCCATTCGAGGTAACCATCGCTCACTGACCCTGGAAGGTGTCAAACGAGGAAATGACAGCAGTAATAGGTACGGAGGCGGACAGCCTGGCAGACGTTAACGGCTCAGCGCTCCATGCCTCCGCGACCTAAGCTCCGGCTTCACGGCTTCCTCGACCCCAGGGCGGACGGAGCAAGTCACGTGCCAACCCAAGCAGTCAGCTGACCGGGTCGCGCGCTGCTCCGCCTACGCGCGCGCCATTGCGCAGCCGCAGTCTCTGTCTTGCCCTCCGAAGAGGGAGGGGCTGAGTGGCTCCCGGGGATCCAAGGAGACCCCGGAGTCGGGGCTGGCGCCTGCCATTACGCAGTGGGTGGGGATTCCCGCTCCGGTGTCCGGGCGGAGTCTTGTCCGCGCCCTGTGGACGTCACCCCCACGATCCCTGATGTTATCCCACTTCTTCAGGTTTCTGCAGGTCAGAACTTGTATCCAGGCCCTACACAGGCTCCTCCACTGGGGGTTTTGTTCGGATAACCCCGTTTTCTGCGTAATAGCCTTACTAGTTCACTTCAGCTGAATCACATTTCCTTTCCAGTTCAAGTTAATTCCATAAATGTTCATGGAGCATTTACTGTGCACTAAGCATTGTGCTAATATTTTAGGATTATATACCAGAACCAGTTACCCCTTGCACATATTATCTAGTTGTGTTATCTCGTTCAGGGGAATGTGTGGCGTGCCGCAAACATAAATAATTGAAACCACAGAATGGTAAATCAAGTGAGGTTTCAGGACAAAGGCAAGGATGGGAGAAAGCATATCTTTGGGGAGGTGGGTAGCAAGGCGCTCCTCTGAACCCTTCGTATTTTATTGGTTTGAGAAGTTTGGTGGTATTCTAATTTATAACGTAGTTTTACAAATGGTAGAGAACTTTATGATTTTCTAAGTTAGTCCTTTTAGATTCACAAATGAGGAAAATGAAGAACCAGAGGTCAGAGTTTAGTGCAAGGGAATAGATATACCTGGTTTTAAATCCTGGCTCCACTACTGACTAGTTGTGTGACTTCAGGCCTCTGAACTTGAGCCTCTTCATCTGTAAAATGGTGGTAATGCATGCTTATAGAGTTATTATAAGGATTAAATAAAGTATGCCTTTAGCACAGTGTCTGGCACATAGGAAACAATCAGTAAATCGTCGCCATTATTACCATATATTAAAGGACCCAGATTTTCTGACCTTTTCTGTTGTTGTGTCCCTGCAGAAATTCACCATAGAATTTCTTAGAGTGTCAGTATTAGGTTGGACAGAAAGTAACAACCAAAGAAACTATCCCCAACCTGATGCTTCTCACAAATTTTGAACGAAGTTCAGGCAATTCCAACAACCAGTTCTATAACTCAGCTTTGGAAACTTGTCATGAATTCCAAAGGCTTTATCTGGCATCACAAAATGAGCCTAAAGGCAATATTTTGTTAGATCTGTACTATCCAATTAAACTTTCTTTGATGATGGAAATGTTATCCTCTTCTGTCCATATGGTACCTGCTAGCCTTGTATGGCTATTGGGTACTTGAAATATGACTAGTGTGACTGAAGAACGAATTTTAAATTTTATTTCACTTTAATTAAAATTTAAACACCCACAGGAGGCCAGTGGTAACTGCTTTGGAGACTGCAATTTTAGAGTCTGCATTTGAAATCTTTGGTTTCTTTATGCTTGTGCATGGGCCTGAAACAATCCTCATCTCAGTTTATTAATTTTTAAACTCAAGTGCATTTACTCCTGATGTCCTGACACTTTCCAATATTTTAAACACCATGTTATACCTAAGAGGCAGTATAATGTATTGCTCAATAATTGCTAGCTCTAGCTATTATTAAGCTGAGTATATATCTTTTAAAAATCTATCAAACATCTTTATTATAAGCAGGGCATGATTGCTTTCTAATGGCTTCTAATAGAAATTTTTTACAAAGAGAAAGGAAGCTCACTTTTCTATACTATGCTTAAGAGCATACTAGGTATCTAAGTGTACATGATAGGCATGCCACACCTTTTCCTCTATTTCCAACAATCTAAATACTCCCTATCTGAAAGCACTTTTTAAGCTTAAAGCACTGAAAAAATGCATAGACAAGATTTATTTTTTCAAGGAAGAAACATAACTGTTTTAGTTAAAGTGGGGAAAGTATTTGAAACTAATAGCACAATAGGAATCAAAATCATTTTTCACTTCTACAATATTAAAACTATCTTGAAAGTGGATACTAGTATTCCCCTTAGAAAAGGAAATGTCCTTGTTTAAGAAAGTACCTTGATAAACTAGCGAAGTGAATGATAAGCTGAGAGCATGGGTAAATGGAGCCAAAGGACCAAAGATATAACTAAACTAGTTACCCATAGAGATTGGAAAGGAACAGAAAATGTGGGGGAGGGGAGTGAAGGCAGGAGAGAAGAGAAAGAAGAAAGCGACATAATAAAAGTCTTATAAAAATAGGAGTGTTTAGAACTCTTAGAGATTTATTTCAGTTGTTGTGAGGTAAGTCCTTTGCCATCTACCCAAAATTTTAATAAAGTCTAAGCTCAGATGCTTTATATGAGCTTTTTGAAGGGATAGAAATTTATGCTATCCAGGTTATATAACATAAAGAGCTCAGACAAATTGATAAGAACAACTGATAAGACCCCAATGCACAAATGAGCAAAAAGTACAAATGATTGAGAAATGAAGAAATACCACTGGCTAAAACATGAGGAAATGTTCACTCTTACTTGTGCTCAAAAATATAAGACAATATAAAGATAAAATAAATAATATATAAAAATAAATATAGATTATATTAGCAAAGATAGAAATATATACATAATAACCAATGCTGGTGAGGGTGTGATAAGATAGAGTCTTACACTATTGTGGAAATGTAATATGGCGCAATTTTTATGGTCAGCAATTTGGCGGTATGGGCGAGAAGCCTTAAAAGGCTCATTCCATGAGATCCACATTCAGGTGGAAATAATGGAAAAGATAAGAAAATGTTTATGCAAAATATGTTCATTACATCATAATGTCTGTTTTCATCAGCAGCATTTTCAACAACATTCATTAGATTTAGTTGAGGAACTAAGCCCCCTATGGAAATCAAGTGTTGAAAATGACTTGAGGTTTATACCTTGAATTTTTAGAGTTTAATGTTCAAGTTAATGAATAGAATACATCAGTCCAGTGGTTCTCAACCAGAAGACATTGGCAATATCTGGAGACATTTTTCTTGTCACAACCGAGGGGAGAGGGATGCTACTGTCATCCAATGAGTAGAAACCAGGGATGCTGCTAAACATCCTACAATGCACAGGACAACTCCACAACAAAGAATTATCTGATTCAATGTGTCAGTAGTGCTGAGACTGAGAACCCTAGGACTAGACCCATGATATTCTCACATTTCCAAATTCTTTTTCTTTCAACATAACAGATCAAAAATTTTATTGTTATGATTTCAGATTCTACATTATAACTAACATTCAAGACACTACCATTTTTCTTTATTTTTCAAGGATTTTTTCCATTATAGTTTCAGTTGTACAACACAGTGATTAGACATTTACATAACTTACGAAGTGATCACCCTAATAAATTCGGTACCCATCTGACACCATACATTGTTATGACAATACTACTCTCTATAGTCCTTATGCTATATTCTGCATTCCCACAACTATTTTATAACTACCAATTTGTACCGCTTAATCCTCTCCCACTTCACCCATCCCCCATACTCCTCCCCCCACAATCTGGCAACCATCAAAGCGCTCTCTGTATCTATCAGCTTATTTCTGTTTTGTTTGTTTGTGTTTCTTGTTCTCTAGATTTCATAAATAAGTAAGATCATATGGTCTTTGTCTTTCTCTCACGGACTTATTTCACTTAGCATACTACCCTCTAGGTTCATCCATATTGTTGCAGATGGCAATATTTCATTCTTTTTATGGCTGACTAGTATTTCACTGTATATATGTACCACCTCTTCTTTCTCCATTCACCCATTGATTCCACACCCAGCTTTCTTCCACATCTTGGTCATTGTAAATAATGTTGCAATGAACATATGGATTCACATATGTTCTCTCAGAAGTAGTGTTTTGGGTTTCTTCAGATAAATACCCAGAAGTGGGATTACTAGGTCCTTCTTTGTCTCTTGTTAGTGCCTTTGTTTCAAAGTCTATTTGTCTGGTAGAAGTATGCTACCCCGGCCTTTTTGTTTGTTTTTATTTTCATGAAATAACTTTTTCCATCCCTTTACTTTCAGTCCGTTTGTGTCTTTGAATCCGAAGTGAGTCTCTTTTAGGCAGCATATGTAAGGGTTTTGTTTTCTTATTCATTCGACCACCCTGTCTTTTGACTGGAGAATTTAATTCATTTATAAATGAATTAAAGTAATTGTTGATAGATATGTAGTTGTTGCCATTTTAATATTCATATTTTTTATCTTTTATTCCCCTACTTTTTCTTAAATAGGTCTCTTTAACATTTCTTATAATACTGGTTTGGTGGTAATGAACTCCTTTAACTTTTTCTTGTCTGGGAAGCTCTTAATCTGTCAGTTAGATTCTAAATGATAGCTTTGCTGGGTAGAGTAATCTTGGTTGTAGGTCCTTGATTTTTATCACTTTCAATATTTCATGCCACCCCTTCTAGCCTGCAAAGTTTCTGTTGAGAAATCAGCTCAGTCTAATGGGAACTCTCTTGTAAGTAACTAACTGCTTTTCTCTTGTTGATTTTAAGATTCTCTCTTTGTCTTTAACTTTTGGCATTTTAATTATGATGTGTCTTGGTGTGGGCCTCTTTGGGCTTGTCTTGCTTGGAACTCTACACTTTCTGGGCATGTATGTCTATTTCTTTTGCCAGGCTAGGGAAGTTTTCCTTCATTATTTCTTAAAATAGGTTTTCAATTCCTTGCTCTCATGTCTTTCTGGTACCCTTATGATGAGAATGTCGGCATGCTTGATGTTGTCTCAGAGACCCCTTAATTATCTTCATTTAAACAAATTTTTTTCCTTTTCGTTATTCCAATGGGGTGTTTTCTATTACCTTATCTTCCAAATCACTGATTCGGTCCTCTGCTTTAAATCTAACCTACTGTCAATTCCTCCCAATGTATTCTTTATTTCAGTTATTGCATTTTTCATTTATAAGTGATTCTTTTTTATGTTTTCAATCTCTGTTTCTATGTTTCCTATCTCTTTGTTGAAGTTCTCACT